AAGGGCAGTGGAGAGAGGAAGGGAGGATGAGGAAGGGAAGCGAAAAATCTACCGTCATATCATGATTGTGTCCCTTCTACTGTATGAAACACCATTGTGTTGCATACGCGTCACTTCCAGGAGGTGTTGGTGTCACAGGAGGAAGGGACCATAGCGGAGGATAGAAAGCTTGCGCAGGAAAGGAAGGTCCCGGCGGTTGACGGGGGACTAATCTGGTAATAATAAATGAAGAGAAAAAAACTTTATAGTTTGGACGGTGAAATGTGGTGAAAGTAAACTACGCCTTTAGATTTGACTTGGATTAATATCAAATGTCTTGAACAGAACTGTAATTGATTACCGTAAGAGCGTGCTTGAAGCGACGATACAGCAGAATGTTCGCTACCACTGGATGTTGTGTTTTCATCTGCTCCAGAATCGCTTTGTTGGTGGAAAGATGTCGTTTTGTTGATGAACCGCCGGGACAATTGAGTTTGAGGCGAGAAAAGAGCACCTTAAAATAAATACATCGAGTAGAAGGGAAGTACAGAAAAGATACTGACTAGGGAGATGCCAAAGGGCGACTGATCTCATTAGGAACTCTACATTTTGTATGTTACCGTGGTTAGCTTATGTTCCAAAATGAAACGAGAACAAAAATATGCGAAAGGCCAACCTCGGACACTTGCTTTGAGCTGTCAAGGTTGAACTGCTGTCCAACAAGTCTAAAACACTCGCTTTCCAATTTCTCTATATTGTCCTTCAACCGTTTGAGCAACGATGAACATAGGACACGATCAAAGCAGAAGCCTCCCAAGCACATGTTGTTCACCGCCTAAATATGGAGTACATAGGGAACCGCGAAATGAGGAGAAGCGATAAGAAATGCTAGCAAAAACAATTGCCTTCAAAGAGGTCCAATCAGTTGAATGCATAGGATCCACTAATTCATACCTGAAGGGATTGCATCTCAAGCTGAAGACTTTCTTTAGTTGAGCAATTGATGACGATTGGAGTGAGAATACCAACTAGCCTGAAAACAGGACCAATCCAGGCAGGGAGTTCGGTCAAAGAATAGGTACACACCTTGACACTAAGTATGCCTGAGCTGCTGATGAGATTCGTGATCATACGGAGAATTTTTTGAGCGTATCAAATAACTCCAATAAAACTTGCAGCATATTCAGGAAGATGTACACAATGATCAGAGTCGTAATGCGCCAAGAAAAAGCCATGTAGGACACACATTTCACCCCTCAATTCTGAAATAACGATTAATGTATCTGATCCAAAAGTAACACACTATTACAACCTCTAATCGAACTATTTGCTTTAGGAGATAACATTCTCTGAGCGCGTCAACATCAGAGCTCACACGACTGCAGAATGGAACAGACACAGGAGACACGTTCGTCGAGGGCTATTGACTGTGAAGGGGTTGATGATGGACAAATAGCCTCCTCCTCCTCATTCCCTACACAAAAGTTACACTAGATGCATATAAACCCATACCCATCAGTAAGGTCTTTAAAAGAATCTCTCAATCCTCTATGAGCCGAACCGCTACCTGGAAAGTACTCCTCAGTCAGAGGTATGAAGTGAGGAGAACCGTCAATGGGGCAAAGACAGATGCCCTCTACTCTTTCACACGAAGCAGAGGAGCGCCTTTTTGTCAAAACCACTCCAACTTTATCCAAAGAGAACTGCGTTGCGTGAAATAATTCCAAGCTGATTCAGTCCTGCAAAGGTTTTCCTACTGTGAAAGAACGTCACGTTACATATTGTAACCTGCACCCACCTGCAGACGTCGTTTATGTCGAGATACGTTTTTGGAGGAGCGGAATCTGTTAACTTTTCAGTACGCAAATTCTTCCCCCAAGGCGCTTGCTTGATAAAGGTGATCTTGACCTGAAAATATCATAAATAAACAAATTAGTCAAAACTACCATAAATACAAAAACTACACATTTTTGCAACCAACACAGGTGGCACTGACCATAAGTGTGCCAATGCAAATATTTTTGGGCCCTTACAACCTATTGTGTCAAATTTCTGAGCAATCAAGTTTCTTCTTGAAGTTTACCAACGACCTACAAAGGTAATTCCGCTCACAAACGACACCTGCTGCTCACTTAGATCTCTACATCACGCGTTTACAACCGAATAAGATATAGACATAATCATATCAAATGGTCTCTCGGACAAGTGTAACCTACGAAAGGCATGATCGCGATATATAAGAAGTGCGCTGCTTAAGTAAAGTACACTTCGGAATGAAACATCAGAAAACAACAGCAAACGATACTATATTCAAACATCGCTGCATCCCAACTCTTCCACATCAATATGGATTGTTTGTCTACCCGAAAGTGGTCTCGCGCTTATCACACCATTGATAATGAAAACCCACTGAAACTACCTTGCGCTCCTTAGAAAGACCCCTCAAGACCAGTCCACTTCCTTATGTAATCCATAGAATTATCGTAACAACTTCACCTAACCATGCTCACTGACTTTTCAGAGCGCTTCGTTTTTTACACTGATCACAAAAATAAAAGCAAACAAATTACCAAAACTGGTTGTCGAGCCCTTTTTATGGATGGATGATGCCGATCGGGTGTTCCATTGGAGATTCTTTCTGCTAAAGGCGATATGGGAGCCTTTTCTGAATTATTCAGCTTTAGCAAGATATCCTATGAGACTCATGAACACAAGTTATTTTATTTATTACCAGATTAGTCCCCCGTCAACCGCCGGGACCTTCCTTTCCTGCGCAAGCTTTCTATCCTCCGCTATGGTCCCTTCCTCCTGTGACACCAACACCTCGTGGAAGTGACGCGTATGCAACACAATGGTGTTTCAAACAGTAGAAGGGACACAATCATGATATGACGGTAGATTTTTCGCTTCCCTTCCTCATCCTCCCTTCCTCTCTCCACTGCCCTCCAGCTGCCACTGCAGCACCATGTGGAATGAACGGAAGTGTGCTAAGCAGGTGTTTATATAGCCCTAAGAGTGTTATCACAACTATCCTGCTACAAAACATTGATATCTCAAATCCTGTAAGCTACCCGATTTGTTAGCGGTTTGTTTATCCCATGAGCTTCCTTCTCACTCACTTCATTTTGCGGACGGACACACATACATACACACACACACACACACACACACATACAGATACACAAACCGACACACAAAGTTAGCGCTTTATAAAATAGAATTAAAGCATAAAGGATAAAGCATTTGCCGTTGATCAATCCCTTTTGGATGCGGCACGCATTCTACTTCCATTTGTACATTCGCAGTGGCATTTGAATGCGATGTGGCCTATACAATGACTTGCGGGGGCCAGCCGATGTTCAAGTCAGTGTTTTTATCCTCCCAGACAAGTCTGGTACCAATTAACCGACCCCGGAGGATGGAAGGCTTGGTTGGCCCGGGCGACTCACGACCCAGGATTTGATCCCGGACCGCTCGCGTGGTGAGCGCGCCACTTGTCACTGCACCACTTCCGCCCCTAAAATAGAAGGATAGGCGCTTTTCAACAATGTTATTTGAAAATATATGTGAATAATTAAGGAATCACAATGTATTAAAATATGAAATAAAAGGATCGCGGAAGTGGTGTAGTGACAAGTGGCGCGCTCACCACGCGAGCGGTCCGGGGATCAAATCCTGGGTCGTGAGTCGCCGGGCCAACCAAGCCTTCCATCCCTCCGGGGTCGGTTAATTGGTACCAGACTTGTCTGGGAGGATAAAACACTGACTTGTACATCGGCTGGCCCCGCAAGTCATTGTAGGCCACATCGCATTCAAACGCCACTACGAATGTACAAATGGAAGTAGAATGCGTGCCGCATCCCAAAAAGGGATTGATCAACGGCAAAGCTTTACTTTAGCTTCAT